GGCACCGGGACCCCCCTGCACCCTCTCCCTCCGCACCGGGACCCCCTTAAACCTCCCTAAGCGGCACTGGGACCGCCTCATTTCCATTCCTGGGCACCGAGACTCCCTTGAACACCCGTTCCCGGGCATGGGAACCTCCCTCAACCTCCATTCCCGGGCACAGGGACGCCTCTGGAGCCCCATTCCTGAGTACTGGGACCCCCCGGAACCCCCATTCTTCGGCTCGGGAACCTCCCTGGACCCCCATCCCCGGCACCAGGACCCCCTGAACCCCAATGCCCGGCACCAGGACCCCTCTGAACCCCCTTATCCTCAAAAAATACCCCCCTGTGCCCCTTTTCCTGCCAATCCCGCCTCTCCCAGCCCCCTCATGCTCCCTTTTCCTTGACCCTGGGACCCCCATTCCTGCCTTTCCCAGCCCCCAACCCCCACTTCCCTTAACACTGGGGACCACTGGACTCCCCTTTCCTGGGCACAGGGACCCCCTGGATCCCCTATCCCACCTCTCCCAATCCCAGCCCCCACTTTCCTTGAACCTTGGCCCAGCTTTCCCAGTTCCACTCCCCTGACCCTTGGACCCCCCAAACCCTCCAATCTCTGTGACCCCCCCCCCAGTTCTTCACTCCCTGTGCTTCCTGCAGGGGGGTCCCAGGCACCGGGAACGCCCTCGACCGCAATTCCTGGGCACTGGGTCCCCCCCTCAACCTCCTCATCCTGCACCAACATCCCCCTGCACCCCCTTTCCTGGACATCCTGCCTCTCCCAGACCTACTTTTTCCTTGTCCATCAGACCCCCTGGACCCCCATTCCTGCCTTTTCCAGACCCCATTTTCCTCAACATCAGCGACCCCTGCACCCCCCTTTTCCTGGGCACAGGGACCCCCTGAATCTCCATCCCACCTCTCCCAGTGCCCTCCCCCCCTTCCCCTGACCCTGGGACCCTGGGACAGACCGGGCAGGGGCTGCAACCTGGTTCTTTTAGATGATTCCTTCCAAGGCGAGATTAAGGCCCAAACCTCCAAATGTTGGGTCTCAAACACACACAACTGACTTTATTGGCACCAATAAGGAACGGGAAAAGCGAGGGGGGGAGAAGAGGGAGAGATGAGGAAAAGGAAAGGCTGCCAAAGGAAAGTGCCGAAAGGTTCCCAGCACAGGGAGAGAAGCGGGTGCAGTCAGGCTCGGGCAGGCAGGGAAGCAGCGCTGGAGGGAAGCGGGTGGGGAGCAGAGCGGATCCGAGCCGAGCAGCAGAGCAGGGAGGTGGGACACGAGCGGGACGGAGCGAGGAGTGGGGCCAGCAGCCAGCACGGGCCCCTGGCCAACACCGACCGGGCTGGCCAGGACCGAAACGCTGGCACTGCCTTAAATCCCCCCGGTGGGCGCTCCCTGGCCAGCTCGGCTCCGGGCAGATCCTTCCACGGGGTCCAGGGGTGAAGCTGCCGGGATCCAGGAGGGCCGGCTCTGCCGAGGTGGGAAAATGGAACACCTTTGTGTTGGAGACTGTCCAGGGGTTCCAGCAAGCAGCCCCAAATGTCCCCTGGGTGGATGGAGACAGCCCTGCCAAGAGCTAAACTCGGTGTCCCCCCTTTGTTCGGTCGCTGGGCTCCGGGGGGAGCTGAATCCCGATTGCTGGGCACGGGACCCCCCTGAACCCGCATTTCTGGGCACTAGGACTCCTCTGAACCCCCCTTCCCGGGCACCGGGACCCCCCTGCTCCCTCTCCCTTTGCACCGGGACCCCCTGAATTCCGATTCCTGAGCACGGGAACCCCCTGAGCCCCCATTCCCTGAAGGAGACCCCATGAACACCCATTCCCGGGCACAGGAACCCCCCTGAATCTCCGTTTTTGGGCACCGGGACCCCCCCGCACCATCTCCCTCCACACCGGTACCCCCTTAAACCTCCTTCTGGCACCGGCACCCCCCAGTTTCCATTCCTGGGCACCAAGACCCCCCTGAACACCCTTTCCAGTGCAGGGGAATCCCCCTGAATCTCCATTTTTGGGCACTGGGACCCCTCTGGAGCCCCATTTCTGAGTACTAGCACCCCCCTGAACCTCCATTCTGGGCACTGGAACCCCTTGAAACCCCATTCCCGGAAGGAGACCCCCCTGAACACCCATTCCTGGGCTCTGAGACCCTCCTGTACCCTCATTCCCGGGCACAGGAATGCCCCTTAACCTCCGTTTCCGGGTACTGGGACCCCCCCGCACCCTCTCCCTCCGCACTGGGATCCCCTTAAACCTCCTTATCTGGCACTGGGACCCCCCAATTTCCATTCCTGGGCACCGAGACCACCCTGAACACCCATTCCTGGGCACAGGAACCCCCCTGAACCTCCATCACTGGGAAGGAGACCCCTCTAAACCCCCTTAAACCCCCATTCCTGGGCACGAGATCCCCCACACACCTCCATTCCTGGGCACTTGGACCCCCCTGCACCCTCTTCTGCAGCACTGGGACCCCCATAAACCCCCTTATCCGGCACCGGGAACCCCTGAACCCCCATTCCTGGGAACAGTAACCCCCCTGAACCCCTATCCTAGGCACAGGGATCCCCCTACTCCCCCTTATCCGTCACAGGGACACACCTGGACCCCCATTCCTGGACACTGGGACCCCCCTGAACCCCCTTATCCTGCAACAGGACCCCCTGAAGCCCCATCCTCGGTTCCAGGACCCCTCTGAACCCCCTTATCCCCAACAAATACCCCCCTGTGCCCCTTTTCCCACCAACCCCACCTCTCCCAGTCCCCTGATCCTCCCTTTTCCTTGACCCTGGGACCCCCTGAACCCCCATTCCTGCTTTTCCCAGCCCCCAGCCCCCACTTTCCTCAACACCAGGGACCACCGGGTCCCAGTCCCTTTCCTGGGCACAGGGACCCCTTGGATCCCCTATCCCTCCTCTCCCAGTCCCAGCCCTGCCTTTCCTTGAACCTTGGCCCCTTCCCAGCTCTCCCAGTTCCACTCCCTTGACCCTTGGACCCCCCAACCCCTCCAATCTCTGTGACCCCCCCAGTTCTCCACTCCCTGTGCTTCCTGCAGGGGGGTCCTACCTATCCCAGACCCCCTTTTCCTTGACCCTGAGACCCCCTCAACCCCCCTTCCTGCCTTTCCCAGACCCTAGACCCCATTTTCTTCAACAATGGGGCCCCCTGGACCCCCCTTTCCTGGGCACAAGGACCCCTGGATGCCCCATCCCACCTCTCCCAGTCCCTACATTCTCCTTCCCTTGGCCCTGGGATCCCAAAATCCCCGTCCTGGCTCTCCCAGCTCTCCCAGTTCCCCCTGTCCTTGCCCCTTGGACACCCCCAGACCCCCCAAATCTCCGTGTCCCCCCAGTTCTCCACTCCCTGCGTTTCCTGAATGTGGCGGTGACAGAGCCCAGCCCGGGGATCCCTCAGTATGTGGAGATTGGATACGTGGACGGGATCCCCATCACGCGCTACGACAGCGAGCGGGGCCGGGCGGAGCCGCTGACGCCGTGGATGGCAGCTGGAGTCGAGCCGGGATATTGGGATGGACTGACCCAGATCAATGAGAGGATCTGGCTCGTGGCTGCCACTGACCTGGAGACAGTGGGGGGCTGGTACAACTGGAGTGGGGGTGAGTGGGGGGAGCCGGGGAATGGGGGGATCTGTGGGGCTGGGATGTGGATCCAAGGTACTTGGATGTGGATCCAAGGTACTTGGATATGGATCCAAGGGGTGATCTGGGATGAGGCTCTGTGGGTCTCCATTGGACTCTGGGGCTCCATAGGGCTGGAATGGGGCTCCGTGGGGCTGGGACACAATTCCAGGGGTCTCCATGGATCTGATCCTTCTGCCCAGGTCTCCACACGGTGCAGCGGGTTTGTGGCTGTGACCTCCTGTCCGACGGGAGCGTCCACAGAACCCTTCGGTACAGCATTGATGGGCAGGATTTCATCTCCTTCTCCCCGGAGACCGGGACCTTTGTGGCAGCCGATGGAGTTGCCCGGATCACCGAGAAGCGCTGGAAATCCGACGGGTACGAGGATTTTCAGCTTGACCTGGGACAGAACTGTGGGGAAGACCTCCGAATATACATTGGATACGGGCGGGAGGCACTGGAGCGCAAAGGTGAGGGAGACAGAATTCCCATGGGAATGTGGGATTTGGGAAAGTGGGATTTGGGAGGGTGGAACTGAGCAACATGGGAATTCCCATGGGAATTCCGTGGATGAATCTGAGTCATCCAACTCCCATGGGAATTCCATGCATGGATCCCACTGTTGTCCCACTCCAGTGGGAATTCTGTGGATGGATCTCACTCCAATCCCATTCCCATGGGAA